GCCGCTGCCCTGGCCGCTTCCCTGGCCACTGTCCTGACCTGAACCGCTTCCTTGACCCCTGCCCTGGCCAGAACCGCTTCCTTGACCACTGCCCTGTCTGCTTCCCTGGCCCTGTCCGCTTCCATGACCAGAACCGCTTCCCTGGCCCTGTCCGCTTCCCTGGCCAGAACTGCTTCCCTGGCTGCTTGCTTGACCCTGTCCACTTCCATGACCAGAACCGCTTCCCTGGCCCTGTCCGCTTCCCTGGCCAGAACTGCTTCCCTGGCTGCTTGCTTGACCCTGTCCACTTCCCTGACCAGAAGCGCTTACCTGGCCCTGGCCACTTCCCCGACCATAACCGCTTCCCTGACCGATGCCTTGGCCGCTTCCCTGATTGGGCAGCTGACCCAGTGCATTGTGATTGGCTGAACACCGCAAGCACTCGTCGGAAATGTAACGCCCCTTACCACAATCGCCAGCTTCATCTTTCAAAATAAATGTAAAGACAGAGCCCGAAAGGGGAACAGAGTTGCGTGACAGACACAGTGATGAAGCTGGTGTTTGCAGTACACAAGCCACGGTTAAGTCAGTTGACTCCACTGTGATGTCTCTCTCTCTCTCTCTCTCTCTCTCTCTCTCTCTCGGAGTGTTCTTTTTCAGAATCGGTGGGGCAGGATAACCCAATAGTCCCTGAGGACCGGACTGCTAAACGATATCCCGAGGTCCAAAGCCGTGCAGAGGAAGAATATGGATTTGTATGGGGGTATCATCAACCTGATGCTCCAGAGGCTGCCCAGATAAGGGAGAGGGTTGTTGCATCCAGTATCGAAAGAAATCCGAGATCAGAGTCTGCTGTGGAAGGTGGGCTGTCTGGTGGAAATTTACATCCTGTTGCTGTGGATATTGGTTCGGGTGAGGTGCAGCAGGAGAGTGGGGACCAGAGGATGGAAGCTAGAGGCTCCCTTCCAGAGCCATGTCCTCAAAGGATTCAGCCAGCTCGTTCTCGGAGACCACCAGCTTGGACTAGGGATTATAATTTGATGTGACTCGAGGATGAGTCCGGTCTATCCGAGGGGAGGGGATAGTGTGATGAACGCTGGGGGAGTTCGTTTCTTAGTTGGGCTTTGGCCCCGCCTATAGGAACCTTTTTGCAGCATGTTCTCGTCTGATTGACAATGTATGGATAATTGAACTCACCTGGAGGACGTTTAAGGAGGAGAACAGGTGAGAGGGGGAGAGGTGTTTTTGGGCGCTCAGGGAAAGATGGGGATGCTTGGTGTTGCTCGAGACCATTAGGGTTTGTCCGGCAACGAAGATAGTTAGATAAATGGATGGAATTTGTGTAGTTAGATAACGTTGGGGAGGGTTTAGGAGCGCTGACCATATGTTCCAAGAGCGTTTCAAGGAGACTGTATTGTGCGCAAAGAGGACTCATGCGTATTCCAGATATTGTGATTCCCAAGGAGAAGTGTGCTGTGTACCAAAGACTAATTACTGCCAGTGACGTTGTGATTAATTGCCGTAACTGCGGAGACGATAATAAAGCGAAAAGGAGTGCGTGCTTTCTTTGAAGATACGGATCCGGCACGGCTGATTCCTTTCCCCAGACCCCGGGGTGGGGTCTTGTGTCCGGGAAACGGGGAAGCGTTTTACATTTTAAGTCTCTTTATGTGTGAGTGTGTATGGTAGTTGTGAGTTTTAAAGTTGATGTGAACATGATTACTCCGTCTCCGTGTACGGGACTGTGGAGGCGCTGATCTATTCACCTGTTAAACTGATTGTGTGACCACGATTTCTAGTGTGCCATGTGGGCTGGGAATAACCACTAGAGTGCAGTGTAGTGCAGTGTTGAAGTTTCACTTGTGTAGCGCCGTTTGTCCTAGTGTAGGTGTACGGAGTGAAATGTTCGTTGGACTTATTTAAATGTCTCTTTACATAACGGTTATATTTTTCTATGTATAATTGTCAAATAAAGTGATAATTTTCTATAAAATCCTAGTGTTTGATTGAACCTCTTTAAGATAAAAGAGAGGTTTATTACACTGGTGGCAGCGGTGGGATCAAAATAATAAATAAAACGATGGAGGAAGAGGGCATGTCTGTGTCACAATCAGAAGCAAATGCGTCCGTTTCAAGTGGCGTCATGATAGCTGTCGGGGTCTGTTAGGAAACAACGAGGCTGGATTCAGGTGCGGGTTCAAAAGGGACTTTTAT